CCTACTACCCGACTCCCGAGTACGGAAACAGACCCGCACACTGTTTCTGAGTTTCCCTTCGCTCACTGTCTCTCTGAACCACTGTCTCAAACCCTCCCCTTGATCTCTGTCTCTGAGCCCTTCCCTCTCTTGTACACCATCTCTGAGCCTCCTCACGCACTGTCTCTGAGCCTCCATTGGCGGTCACCGTCTCTGAGCCCTTCTCCCTCGCCCGTTGTCTGTGAGTCTTCGGCTTGCTCACCGTCTCTGAGCCTCCCTTGCTCACAGACTCTGGGCCTCCCTTCTCTTGCACACTATCCCTGAGCCCCTTCGCGCAGTGGCTCTGATCCTCTCCTCCTTTGTCGTCCCTGAACTTCCCCCTCTCTCAAACTGTCAGCCCCTGGTCGTTTCATTTCGACCACTGGACCGCTCCGTCATGGTTTTTAATTGTCAATTCAGGATCAAAAGCTTAGCAGCACTGCGTGTTATCAATATGTTGCGTGGTTGCATGCTGTTAATGCCCATGTCTTTTCGCTTTGCTGATACTTTATCTACGGTATTTACATTTTGACGACTCTGTATGGGGTTCACATTTTTTGCTTAAGCTCACAACAAAGGCCAAACTCATGCAAACTTTCCACCAGATAAGTAGCCTCGCTAATTCAATAATCAACTATACCTGCCGAAATACAAGTCGCAACGCTTACCGTAATGCAACTGGTAGTAGAAGTGATTATTGTTTCATATGTTGACATAGCTGTCTTCCCTTTCTCTAGGTATGACGGATACAGCAAACCCGGTATCAGCCTATTCAACACTGACCTCGGTAAGTAACACAGTGCACATGACAAGTGGCATTTCACAGGCTTTGCTTTCGAATGTCTTCGCCGTCTCGAGTGGTGCTAATAGAGTGAAACCAGTGAGTTTAGTCAACAGCTTCCAAGCATTGCGATATTTACGTACGAGCCATTGTGTTGACTTTTGTGTGTTGTGTTGTTTCCTCGTAAAACGTTTCCCTTCTTACGAAATATTCACTAGATAGATGGGCTGATGTTTGACGATAAATCTACCCAATGCTTTACATAACGAGCTGCATTCAAATTAGTCGTAAACAATAAAGACTAAGCCGTATAAATGATGCACGGCACATTGCAGCCACCTGTCCTTTACACCTCTCGTTGGTGCCTGTGCATTACACTATTTGCAGCCACATGTTCGTTACACTACTTGCAGTAACATGTCCATTACACATCTTGCAGTCACACATTAATCACACCTCTCGCAGCCACCTGACCTCTCTCTCTTTCTCTCTGCAGAGGGCTGGATCAACCTGGGTCTGAACGTGCTCATCCTGGTGCTCATCGGCTTCGTGGCATTCACCATCAGCGCGTCCGTGGGCAGCGTAATCGAGAACGCTGACGAGCGGCACTTCAACCTCGGCGGCATGGACGTGGTCGGCACCATCGAGCGCCTCCAGAAGCTCTACGACACTGTGGTGGCCAAACAGGCCTAGAAGACCCCCAGTCTCCCTGGATCATAAATGACACTGTTGTTACGTGGGAAGATGGGAAGTGTGATCAGCCAGCTTAGTCTTGGCATTGTTATTTTGTTTTGTCGATCTGTACACGGTGGCCCAGCCGCTCACGGTCACGCATACGGGTATACGGGGCATTGTCAATATCATCCCTTTGTTGACGCACTGTCAGAGATAAAGGAACACTGAAATGTTGTGTAACTTACGGTGTACGTGCTATGCGCGATTTGATAATATATTTGTTTGTTATTTTGGGTTGTGTCGAAAGTCAAGCCAGCTTGAGAGTTTGTTAATAAATCACCATGGACATTTGATAAAATAGCATCAACTCATATTCCCGTCGATTAGCAAATACGAGTAAAGTAGCGACAATTTCTAATAATCCTATAGGTCTTCGTCGAGTTGGTTCACGTCGTGGGGAACGCAATCAGATTCAAGACTCATCAGACAAGCATGCACATAAAGGAATGTTCTCTGACGCGTTTACCAAGACACAGGTTCATGGACTATCATAAGGCTACATTACTAATCTGCCTCAAGTAACCTACGAAGCCTGATCATGACCCATACAACTATCCTCCATTTGCGTGTAAAATCCAATGGAAGGTAGCGGACAACTCTGCAACATGATATTCAGCCATTCTGGCGGCTGCAGAGGTAAAATGATTCCTTCGTTACCAACCGATATTTTACTATGAAAATGAGCACATTAATTAATAATTGAAATACATCAGAACTCTCGAAATTATGCGTTAATTCCATTAATTCCAGATACCTCTATATTCGCAAAGCAAATACACGCATATTCGTTCAAGCATTTTTTTTTTCAGAATTTTAACGGAAGACTGGTCTCGACTAACAAAACGATGCACAATAGCACATTACGCCAATTTTGCACTTTGCGAAACAAGTACTGATGCACGAGATGATAAACTGATATCATCAGCACTTCAAAGTTGTACGGCGCTGTTCTCTGTGGTTTTAATATCTCACGTAACCTAGACGGCGAAGCATCCAAAAATGCCCACTCCGACCATGGCAAAGGTTTAGTGGGCTGTCTTATCTAGGGCAACATATATCGGCAATCGGCATCAATAGGAGCCTACCCAGATCAATCTTTAATTGTCCGCTGGAAATTTGAACATTTTGAAAATCGTTAAATTTCCGTAAGATCTCCGATTATAACCTGCATATTTTACCAACTCTAAGGCTTCGCCAATTTTCTCGGACATTAACGCGGCAGGCGGTGGGCCTATCAGCCACCTTCCGCGCGGTGGGGGGGGGGGGGGGCATTTCCCCCCCCCCGTATCTCCGAAACTACTGGACGGATCCGGAAAATTCAAACGGCGTTCGATAGCCCTGTCAAATTTGTCTAGGGAAACCAAATTTCATTGACCTCGGGGTCACCGATGACGTCACAGGTCAGGTCAAAGATAAAATGTTTCACCGTTCACGGGGCTTCTAGGGAAAGCGCTATAACACCGAGTAAAACGCATTTTGTCGAAAATCAGCGATAAGGCGTCAGTTGTCTAGTACATATGTTGCTATTAGAGGTCACTGGTCATACCAGGTCAGGTCACAGGTCAGGTCACCAAAGGTCACCAAGGGTCACCACATGAGCCCAACTTTACTAAGGTTATGCGATGCATGTTTTATGGCCAGTTTTTCATTTCCAACTCAATGGTGTTGGTTATAAGACCATCAGGTACGGTTTAGGCGACTTTCTGGTGGAGGTCAGGTCAAGGTCAGGTCAAAAAAGGTCAAATTTCAAAGTTGATATTTTTGCATAAAATGGGTATCGATTCGATGCAGCTCGTCACGGGGAGTCTAATGGTGGTCTTTGTTTTGCGTCACGAGGTCTAGAATTGCTAAAAATTGAGTTTGAAAATTTGACGTAATCAATTTTGAACAGTTTTTTCGCTATAACTTGGCCAAAAAAAAAGAGGTATCGATCTTAAATTTGGTATGTAGATAGAAGGCGGTAGGGACTATCACATATATTCCGGTTTTTTCGAAATTCAAAAAACTTTTTGGATTTTTTGGCTATTATATTCAAAAAATATATTTTTTGATTTTTGGGGGTCAGAATCCAAAAAATTCGAAAAACCGAAATAACAGTTTTGTAGGCCTTTTAATTCAACACCTTTTATGTCTAGAACATTTTTCTGTATCTCTAAAGCTGTAGGCCTGACAGCTCTTCCCGCGAAACCTTTTTTTGGGTCGAAAATGGCAAAAATGACGTCACTCTGACGTCATTAGCGGCCAACCTATCATAGCCTTTGGAAAAATTTTTGGCCACCATGTGCGCTAGCTGCTCCCGGGAGGGTACTGAAAGTTTGATGACGATCGGCGCAGCGGTTCTTGAGATATATTGAAAAACTAAAGGGGGGGGGGGGGCAAAAAAATGCTCCCCCCACCGCCTGGAAGGTTAAACATGTGTAATATCTTGGAAAACTTGGACGAGATCTTCCGGAATAGGTATCTAAAAAATCAAATTCCTATAGTTTCCGCTCAACTTTAGCCAGACATCAGCAGTTTCAGCAATTATTTATAATGGAGCCTATTCACCATATCGACATTTATCTGATGGCCCCGATCCCGACACAAGCCCACCAGTCAAAAGCGGACAGTGAGAAGGTTCGGACCCATAGTTTCCGTCGCCTCAATGAACGGGTAATCGATCTAATCCGCTCTCCCAACTGAGCTACTTATCCATACAGCCTTACTCCCCATACTCTGAGGATGTCTGGGGTCACTATTTACACGAGCTAACGGTAGATTGTCCCTTTGACTCTGCGACTGGAGACGGCTGACTGACAAGACGGCGTAGTTGAAGCCCTATTCAGTATCTACGCGCTATTGCATGCGTGATACGCCTAATACACAACAACCGATACCAGGCGCGAACAGCAGGTCTGTCGGTGTCGAACATCAAACATGGGGCGCTCAAAGTTCGCTAAATACGCATTAACCCGCGCGGGGCTGGGGTCTCCAGCCGAACGCGCGGGGCTGGGGGGGGGGTAAATTTTACCCCCCCCCCCTGTTATCTCCCGAACTAATGGTCCGATTTGGAAAATTCAAACGCCAATCGAAAGATCTCATCACGAACAACTAAAAACATGTACTTAATTTAAAGTTTGAGGTCAAGGTCAAGGTCAGGTCAAGGGTACAAATTGCAAGTTTCTACAGTATCGGCCTTGCACCGTAGTTGCCGAAGAATGGAGTCATGGACTGAGACTGATTGCCCAAAACGTGTTCTTAGGCTACCAAGACAATACAGGGTGTTGCAGGTAAATTGGGAATTTTCAGACCTAATTTCAACATGCTATTAATACGGTGAATGAAAACACAGAAAGTTGAAAATTCGCACGTGTATTGTGTCATGTACGCACAGCCTTGTCACTCGATGTGACCGCCGTCGGCGTCCCGCACCCTCTCGAGACGGCGCCGGAAAGCGGAGCACGCGCGCCGGGCCTCATCCTGGTCAATGGTGCTGACTGCCTTCCTGATGGCCTTCTTCAGGTCAGAAACGTTGGCAGGAGTGGTCGAGTTGGACTTTTGTTCTACCACGCCCCACATCCAAAAGTCGCATGGATTCAAGTCAGGCGAGTTGGAGGGCCATATGTCCTTGGGTACATATAGGGGGATCCTCTGGCTCAGGAAATCTTGCACCCTCTGGGAAGCATGTGCTGGGGCGGAGTCTTGCACCAGCATGACTTCGCTCAAGTCATAGTATTTCATCATCCAGGGGATGAGAGACTCCTTCAGGATGGTCAAATACGCGTCAGTGTCGATCATCACACCAGCAGGTATGAAATGGGGCGGCATTATGCGGCCATCACTTGCGACGGCCCCGAACACCATTACTGATGCCGGATTTTTGCCTTTCATCACGGGAGCCACTTCATCAGGGCTGTAGGCGATAGCCCGCGAGTTCCTGCGGTTGGCGACCTCTTCTACGATGATCTTTTTCTCATCGACAAATACTCTGACGTCACTCCCGAGGTGCTTGAGGAGATTGAGGACCTTCGGTGCCCTCTCCCTTCGTATCGCTCTTGCTGGTTCGGTCAGGAGGCTTCGTCGTTTTCTGGTAAACGACTTCATCCCGAGGTCCTCTCTCACGGCTCTGCTGATGGTGCTCTTGCTCACGTGACGGGCACGCGCAAGCTTGTTCATTGAGGTCCTCGGTTTGGCCTGTATCGAGCGTTTCAAGCCGCTCAGGAATGTTGGTGTCCGTTTTCGGTCACTGCGAGGTGTGTGAGAACGTCGAGCGACATCCCCTCCAGCTCCTACAGTCGCGATAGTTCGGTACACGGTAGACTTTGGGTACCCAGTTAAACTTATTATGTCCTTCGCGCTCTGTCCGGCGCGAACTAACTCACCAATCGTTTCCCTCCGACGCTGCTCCATGACTGCGCGATATGTTAGGATTAAAATTTCAATATCAAATGAAAAACAATTGTTGAAATTATATTGTGTCAAATTTCCATGATGTTCCTCCGCATAGCAAATTTTTTTGTAAGGTCATGAACTTAGTCCCAATTTATCTGCAACACCCTGTATTCGTTGCATACAATATCATTCAGAGGTCAAGGTCAAGGTCAGGTCAGGTCAGGTCAGGTCACCAATAACAAAATATAGATAAGGGCATGTGCGACACATGTTTTATGGATCATTTTACTCATAGAATTCAATAGGCACACTCAATAAGTTATATGGACCACCTCTGGATGAATTTCAGGTCGAGGTCAGGTCAAGGTCAGGTCAAGTGAGGTCAAATTTTGAAGTTGGTTGTTAAACCTAAAAAGGTGTCTGTCTGATGCAGTTTTTCACGGCAAATCGAATGGTGCTATTGTTGTTTCCGTACGAGGTCTAGAACTTCCAAAAAAATCATTTTTTTCAAAATTTTTGTGTGTCGTGACGTCATAAAATTTTGAATAACTCCCACATTTTTGAACCGATTCTTCTAAAAATTGGTATGTAGGTGCACATAGACCACTTCTCTGACATATATTCCGGTTTTTTCGATACACTCAAAATTTTGGATTTTATAATTATTGTCCCAAAAATTCAGTTTTTTGAAAGAATTTGGGCCAAAATCCAAAATTTTAAAAAACCGAGATAGCCATTTGATAGACAAAGTAGAATTACGTATAACATTTTTTGTTACGTCTTGATTCCTTTAAAAATGAAGTTGTTAGCGGCGTTTGAAATTTTGCCGTTTTTGAGGCGAAAATGGCGAACATGACGTCACTAAAACGTCAATTATTCAAAAAAATTTCGACGGATTTCGCTCAAATTTTCAGAGAACGTGTCCAATTGATGTAAGAAAAGGTACTGAAAGTTTGGTGGCGCTGGGCGCCGCCGTTTTTGAGATATTGCAAAAATTCGCGAGGGGGGGTAAGATTTACCCCCCCAGCCCCGCGCGGGTTAACTGACAAACTTATTCGTTTCAAACCTCGCCCCGCTGGGGCTCCTGTATTTCCCACACCCTGCTGGGGGGGGGGGGGTCTAACTCGGCTCCTTCTAACTCGGCTCCTGGGCCACGTAGCGAGACACAGTAGACGTTGTTCGAAAGAGCGTTAATAATGACGAAACTATCCAGTCGTTTTTTGGGTCAGGTCAAATGTCAGGTCACCAGAGGTCATCGGAGGTCAATTTTCGCCTATTTCGGCAATTTTCGACAAACCGGCGCATAACTTGAAATGAATAGAGCTACAGCACCACAGAAAAGCGCATTTCACAGCCTTGTTAACGTTCTTTCTGAGTAATAGATTTGACATAAGTTCAACGGTTTAGCCTGCAGGGGTAAAAAACAACTGCCAATTTTGTTCTTGCGGAAACGGTTTTTCTGCAATAACACTTATCTCAAAGCTTGCACGAGCTTACTTTCGAACACGAGCCGGTATCGTGTTCCTCTTGTTGAGACGCGTCGAATGAGCTATAATTTGACCTTAAAAGGTAGACTTGTAATATTGACTTCAGGTCAAGGTCACTGCCTGATCGGAAAAAGTCGCGTTGCATATCAGCCGATCTGTATCGTCGAGCTGGACACAGCCAAAGTATTTCCATCGCTCTAGCATGCCTCTGTCAAAAGTTATTTGCGAAAAACTGTTGAATACCTTTGATGATCTGGAATGATCGAAGGGACATACGGAGGGTCACGGGTGCAATTTTCCAATCCGTGTCTCATTTTCACTTGAAACTCGATATTTACAGAGTTTTTAGGATGACTTTCGTCCAAAATAGGCGCCCTTCAATTTTCTCCCATTGACTTATAATGGAGTGGTCGCAAAAGGACCTGACAATAGGTCACCGATATCAAAATTACGAGATACGTGATCTATAAGTACAATTGCTTTTATCTGTCGCTGAAAGTTTCAACGTGATCTGTCACTCAACCTAGCGATGGCAAGCAATGGAACTTTTTTGTAAGGTGAGGCCGCTTGACGTAACCTGGTGACCTGACCTTGAGAGACCTTGGTCTGAAATTTTGACAAGTCAATAGGTATGTGCAGAAAAGAGGTATGATAAGGTGCGCCAAAAGCGATGGTGCTCTGCTGTGCCATTTCTTTAGATGTTCGCGAAAAACCGCAAGCCGGGATTCAAACAGCCCCAGCACGGCACGGGTTAAGTAATATCATTCCGCAACCTTATAAAAGAAAAAATATTGTTACTCTTTTCTTAGGCTGATAGGTAGTACATACCAGAACAACATAGTTTACCATTGTTATCGATGAATAAAAAGGGGAAGGGAGAGAGAGAGAGAGAGAGAGAGAGAGAGAGAGAGAGAGAGAGAGAGAGAGAGAGAGAGAGAGAGAGAGAGAGAGAGAGAGAGAGAGAGAGAGAGAGAGAGAGAGAGAAGGGAAGGGAAGGAAGATAGACACTAGACAGGCACGCAGGCAGACAGGTATGAATAACAGAAGATGGAAAGCTCCCTAACCGTATGACGATGTGCTGTACGACAGCTGGTTCAGACTTCACAATGAGCCTTCCAAATCTAGTGTTCGTTTTCACAGCCATCAAGTAAACAATAAAAATTCCAATTTAACAGTTGTCTCCATCCATTTGGATTGTGTCAGAGTTGACGTACTCTATCACAATATGAAATTCTGAGTGCGCTGCGCTTTCACTCATTTGTCGTGGAATGTCGTCCCGCAAATGGTGTTTATGCTGCGAGCTGACTCCGCTTATCCACTGTCCCGCGCCTCGGCTTATCGGCCCAATTCTGTGTGTAAGATCACATTCCAGGTTCACGGGGCATCTTGACATGCGCTCTGTGTGCGCCGGATAGTGGCATAGCCGATCCGCGCCCAGGAAGGCGCGGTGTGCCACGATGCGCCCCGCGATGGCCCACATTTGCGCCAGTTCCGCATTTCGAGCCGCCGGGGACCGCCTAACATGTTGTTTACTCCCCGACACGTAGCCCGGATGCGGTTGTCGCCTAGGGCATGTTGAGCCGCCCTCTAAGTCTTCCACCCCGTTCGATGTCTTAGTTGAGTCCCAGGCGACCCCTCGAGCGCATCGGCTGCCTGTCTGTGACCGGGACGACCCGCTGCACGTCTGACAGAGGTGAGCTGTATATTGCGCCCGTCAGTCCTCAGGCTCCTGTGTACTGGTTCAGCGGCTGGCCCGTCCGACTGTCCCAGAAGGTAATGACGGTGGTTTACTCAGCTACTTGCCGACAATTAACGGCTGCGACTCACTCTCCTCATAACAAACCGTCATCCTCGGGAAAGGGACGGTAACTTCCGGGTATACAGAGGACAGCGTGAGACACAGGATAGAGGCCGGGGGATATCATCTCAGGAGGCCGGGCTGGAGATGTGATTGGGGCTGGTGTGACGACCTCTCGCCTGTCAGTTTGGGCCTACACTGGCGGTTACAGTCTAGGGCCTAACACTGGCTGTCAGACTGTTAGGCCCACACTGGCTGTTCACCTGTGAAGGCGTGTCATGCACGTGACTATGGGAGGCTGATGTAGCTTGCCAATGCGAGAAACTATCCAAATGCCTGTGGGATTATGATGTGGCAGTCTGGCTACGTCAATGAGCCCGCATCGCAAACGTCATGCCATGATCCCGCGCAGATTTATGACTTCACTTGAGTATTATCTACATATGTATAGTACTTACCATCGACTTAGAAGTGCGGAGAGATCACCTATTTAGCGCCATGCTGAATCTGCAGTCAATTTTCACTAGCTGGCTCCCACTTTGATAGCCCCCATAACCTATCCCATTGTTCCTCCCATGTTGCAGGTTGCAGAGATGGCGCAGTCACGGACGCTGTTGCCTCTACTGGCGGTGGTCGCCCTGATGATAAACTCGACCAGTGCCAGTCACAAGAGGAGCGACCACTACGACTACAGCGGCCCTGTCAGCGCCTCGCCGTTCTCGTTTTTGGATACACTGTGAGCTCGCCTGCACGCTAATTGCATGGTCTATTGGGTATTGCAGTGGTTTATCGTGTCGCCACATGAATGCGTGCTTCGAGTAATGCAACTTGTTCCAAGTGTCAAGGTATTTTATGCTCGTAGAAGCAATAGATTTACGTTAAGTAACACCAAACTTATAATGACGTCACTTATTAGCGGATGAAATCATTTTTAATAATGAAATTTCCAACAAATTTAAGCAAGTAACAAAAAACAAGCAACTAACAATGTGATTTGAACAAACCCGTAATGCAGGCATTAACCCGCGACCTGGTGGGGGGGGGACTATTTTTTGCCCCCCCCCCCCCTCCAGACTTTTCAATATATCTCCAGAACCGCTGCGCCGATCGTCACTAAACTTTCAGTACCCTCCCGGACATCAATTTTACACATTGTGACCAAAAAATTTCCAAAAGCTATGATAGGTTGGCCGGAAATGACGTCAGAGTGACGTCATGTTCTGCCGTTTTCGACCCAAAAAAGGGTTTCGCGGGAAGAGCTGTCAGGCCTATAGCTTTGCAAACACAGAAAAATGATAAAAACATAAAAGCTGTAAAATTAACAGGGCTACAAAACTGCTATCTCGGATTTTTGATTTTTTTTTATTTTGACGCCCAAAAATCAAAAAATAGATTTTTTGGATATAATAGTCGAAAAATCCAAAAAGTTTTTTGAATTTCGCAAAAACCGGAATATATGTGATAGTCCTTACCACCTTCCATCCACATACCAAATTTTAGATTGATACCTCTTTTTTTGGCGAAGTTATAGCGAAAAAACTGTTCAAAATTGATGACGTCAAATTTTCAAACTTAATTTTTTGCAATTCTAGACGCCGTAGCGCAAAACAAAGACCACCATTAGACTCCCCGTGACGAGCTGCATCGAATCAATACCCATTTTATGCAAAACTATCAACTTTAAAATTTGACCTTTTTTGGCCTGACCTTGACCTGACGTTGACCTGACCTTCACCAGAAAGTAACCTAAGCCGTACCTGATAGTCTTATAACCAACACCATTGAGTTGGAAATGAAAAATTGGCCATAAGACATGCATCACACAACCTTAGTAAAGTTGGGCTCATGTGACCTGACCTGTGACCCTTGGTGACCTGACCTGTGACCCTTGGTGACCTGACCTGTGACCTGACCTGGTATTGTCAGTGACCTCTAATAGCAACATATCCACTAGGCAACTGACGCCCTATCGCTGATTCTCGACAAAATGCGTTTTCCTCGGTGTTATAGCGCATTCCCTAGTAGACCCGTGAACGGTGAAACATTTCATCTTTGACCTGACCTGTGACGTCATCGGTGACCCCGAGGCCAATGAAATTTGGTTTCCTTCGACAAATTTGACAGGCCTTTCGAACGCCGTTTGAATTTTGCGGATCCGTCCAGTAGTTTCGGAGATACGAGGGGGGGCAAAAAATAGCCCCCCCCCACCAGGTCGCGTTATAAACAGACCCCACCAGGGCGCGGGTTAATTTTTGAAACTGCGTGTGCAGGACGAAATCACAGACACTTTCCATGTAGGTCGTAACATAAACCCCGACCGCCCCTCTCCATGGGACCCCTCATGCCACGTACTCGTATGTGTAGGTATTCCGGGTCTCAATTCCGTCGGAATCTGCCGCCTCCTCGACGCCACCCCTCCCCCTCACAGGACCCGGCCGCCCCTCTCCCGCCCAGGATCCTACCATGTGGTCCTAGTCCTCTCCCATTCACACTATGGCGTCATAAATATCCATTTGTTTCCCGGCGTGCCCATGACAAATCATCTCACGCTTTCTCTCTGCGTGTCAGGACGATAAGCGAAAGCGGACCACCGTTTCGTCATAGCTTTTCTTTGAGGAGGGTTCCGGCTGAAAAAATATAGGTACCTATTTACTATAATACCCCAGCCCGAAAAAGACTGATCAAAGCTTTTTCAAGCTTCCAATGGATTGACCGTTCTTATTGTAAACTTTTAAGCATTATTTACTGGCATATTTCTTACTTTGCAGAGTTTTCGGCGCGAAAATCCCGTAAAAATGAATTCCATGACATACGATTTTAAAGCGATAACTTGCTAATATTTCCTGCTCTTAACCTTCCAGGCGGTGGGGGGGCATTTTTTTGCCCCCCCCCCCTTTAGTTTTTTCGATATATCTCGAGAACCGCTGCGCCGATCGTCACCAAACTTTTAGTACCCTCCCGGGAGCAGCTAGCGCACATGGTGACCAAAAATGTGATCACCTGACCTGTGACGTCATCGGTGACCCCGAGGTCAATGAAATTTGGTTTCCTTCGACAAATTTGACAGGGCTATCGAACGCCGTTTGAATTTTCCGGATCCGTCCAGTAGTTTCGGAGATACGGGGGGGGGGCAAAAAAGTGCCCCCCCCCACCGCGCGGAAGGTGGCTGGTAGGCCCACCGCCTGCCGGGTTAACCCGCGCCTCGTTGGGCTCTGCCGAGCAACGCGCCCCGTTGCATTGGGGGGGGGGGGCAATTTGGCCCCCCTAAGATCTCGAGAACCACGCAGCCTAGCGACAAGCGGCAAACGGTGTTGGATAGCCCTATCAGAGAACTACCTTGTTACCCAATTTTGTTGACCTAGATCAAACTGATGACGTCACAGGTCAGGTCAAAGGTCGAATTTTCACCGTTTACAGGCATTTCAAGAAATGCGTTGTAATATCGAGTAAAATGCATTTCATTGAAAATCATCGATGGGGAAATGTTCTTCAAACACATATTTTGCTATTTGAGGTCACTGATACCAGGTCAGGTCACAGAGGTCAGGTCGCTGGGGGGTCACAATATGAAAGTGTCGTGTGATACATGTTTTATGGTCCATTTTACATGACAAATGCGATTATGTGGGTCAGGCAGACTTTTGGGCCAGCTTAGGTCACGTTTTGGTCAAGGTCAGGTCAAGTTCAGGTCAAGGTCAGGTCAAATTAGGTCAAATTTCAAAGTTGATATTTTTGCATAAAATGGGTATCAATTCGATGCAGCTCGTCACGGGGAGATCAATGGTGGTCTTTGTTTTGCCCTACGTGGTCTAGAATCGCTAAAAAACGAGTTCAAAATTTTGACGTCATCATTTTTGAACAGTTTTTTCGCTATAACTTAGCCAAAAAACGAGATATCGATCTGAAATTTGGTATGTATATAGAAAAGCACAGGTACTATCATATATATTCCGTTTTTTTGAAATTCGGAATTTTTTTGGATTTTTTTTAGTTTTTTCAAAAAATCATTTTTTTTACTTTTTGGGGTCAAAAACCCCAAATTTGGAAAATCCGAGATAACAGTTTTGTAGCGCCGCTTTTTGTTTACTAGACCATATAAAGAAGTTTGAAATTGCTAGGTAACTGTAGATTTGGTGAGCGTTCCAAGATTGCATGTTTTTTGCTCATTTTTGCTCGAACATGACCTCAGTTTGACCTCAATGAATCCTGACCTAAGGTGACCTAAGACTTGAAATTCGGTGTGAAGGTGTCAAATTGATGCCCGGGAAGGTACTAAAAATTTGGCGGCGCTGCGCGCCGCCGTTTTCTTGCTATTCAGGAAAAACCACAGGGGGGGGGGGCAAATTGCCCCCCCCCAACGGGACGAGGGTTAATTTTGAACAAGTTATCACAGTCATCATTTCTGCGTTCCGTTGTCAAAAGTGACAGCACGGGGCTACGAAAATATGGGGTCATAATTATTACATTTTTAGGATCAACAACTCTGACTGCCTGCAATGAGTCATGTACGGAGAGAAATTCTGATCAATGTTGTCCCCAGCAAGTGGTTTATAATTCGATCCGCATCTCATGTAATATACACGTTAAAAGCATGCTCACAAACGTTTTATCTAAGATATAGACTTTTTCTGGTAATCTATTACCCTTTCGTGAACCATGCATTTAAACCTTTAGCTATCAGAACAAGGTCTATCCCTATTCAATGTTTTGCAAGTACATGCCAATAAACAATTCTATTGTTTTTTAGTGTGCCAATAACATGCAACGTTCCATTGCAATTCTATTCGGTACTCTAAATAGACGGACTTATAAAAATCATTTTCAATCACTATTTATGCTTCGATGGTCCTGTGCTTACGCTGGCGGTTTTCCCCAAAGTCGCTATGAATTTCGAAGAATGTGAATTACTGTAATGTTCGATTTTATCGCTTCATCTTCATGAAGACCGACACGCTGTTAATAAACTAAAATTAGCATCGACACTTTCCATTTTCCTTCAGGACACTAATGAGAGAAACTTCCGATTCCTTTCAGGGTGGACAGCTTGTTCGACTTCCGAGCGGGACGTCTGTCTTCGCTGTACGACTTTTATCGCCAGGCTGGACTTCAAGATGGTACGATCAGTTAATTTCGGTGAATATCACCTGAATTATTCGCGTCTTTTATCCACAAAGTAATCGCAGTTACGTGAGAAAAGAAATATACATTGCAAATGAATTTCGTAATGCTCGTTTTCTCTGCTCCTCCAGGGTAAATAAAACAATCCAATCGAGTTGCCAATAGTATTAGCATGGATGAGATAATAATGGATTGGTGTCTTCGCATTTTTTGACGACATTGAGCTCAGGCCTGCCATCTAGCGGGAGAATTATCGTAAGTTAGGAGCAAGCCGAGTGAACGCCGCTGATTAGCATTGTGACACACGGGAGTGTGGTGTAGTAGCAGGCTTGTTGTGCAATTTTTCAAAAGGTTTTGTCTTTATATGTCAGTAAAAGCGAAGAAATTAATACATTTATGTGCAGGGTCAGTAATAAGATAAGCAGTTCCATGTTATTTCCTCATGAAATCGTGAAACAGGGAGTTGTTGGAGACTTCGCCAGCACGTGTCGCTTTCGCTATTTTTCACATGAGTCTTTACTTGGCCTAAATCAAACAAATTGTCCGATCAAAGAACAAACGAACGTAAGTACTTTCTATAAGTCTAATGAAAAAGTTACAAACGGAATTGCTAACGTCATTTGCCGCTCAATATGTCATTCAAGACGCTCTATGAAAAGGACCCAACCAGTGCTGCGTAGTCGATGAAATTTCAGTGACTTTGGCTTCAACTCCGATTCCAGTATCCAAATATCGACTCCGACTCCTCCGGGCAGAACTGTCGATTCACACAGACTCCGACTCTGACTCCGACTCTGCAGCCCTGGTAAGTCTGTGGAGTCGATGACTTTTCGGTGACGCTCGACTCATCACTCATACTCCGACTACAGCTTTTAAAAATCAACCGACTCCGAGTCGGAACAGAACCGATGGCTCTGACTACAACTCCGCAGCCCTGGCCCAAGATAGCCGCCTTAAACAACTTTGATGTGTGTTCTTCTTCGTACATTGTTAATGTTCTTTTAAGCAAGGAGTGGAAAAGGGAGACGAAGCCTTCACAAACAGGGATCTCCTGTTGCGGATCGATCAGCCGCTGGAATAGAAAGGCATAAACACAACGCATCTCATTTCATCGTTTTCCTAACGACTCTGCACCAATGTAAGCACTGATCAATGCAGTGCGAGCATCGATGTGACATTTGTGTACCAATTTTGAGTGTTATCCGCCCAGCCGTTCTTGAGATATGGAAGCGGCACCCCGCACGTGCGCACGTGCAGTAGCACCCCCATCATAGTGACACATGGAAATGCATTGGCTACTGGGTGCCTAACAATTGACGAAGTTTTACTGTAATTGGCCAGCCATTGCGGAGTTACTTTACGTGGAACAATTTCGACACCGCTAAGGTGGCCCACGTGGCACGTGGCGTAACATTAACTAAGATGAAGAAAATCGGGCGAAATTCGGAGAAGAAGGAATAAACCTACCAAATATGCATGTGACATATTGTCAAACTGCTGTACCATTGCGAGTAAATGACCATATAAAAGGTCGTACAAGCCGATGGGACTGGGCGTTTCAATAGGTACACACCGTCTTACGCATTTTATTTTCGTTATTACCTAAAGGCTGCTTGGCATTTTTGGCTTTCAAGCATTTAAGACATTTTTGTCGTCTCAGGTCCAGTAAGAATACCTCCAACTCGTGGGAATATGCACTTCAAGCCAACTAACACACCACACCCACGTGTGTCATAATGCTGAGAGATCGCGTTCACTCGGCTTGCTCCTAACTTACGATAATTCTCTCGCTAGATGGCAGGCCTGATCCCAATGTCGCGGATCCCAATGTTAATTTCCACGAGACACCAATCCAGTGTTATATCATCCATGGTATTAGCAATACATTATACGTTTGTTTAGCTTTGCTTGTTGCCGTATTCCATCGTTGTTGTTTTTTTTTTTTAATCTATGAATGCAAATTAAAAAGGGATTAATGACAGTAACCAACACATTGGGCATAGAATGCAAGCATGTTTTTTTTCCAGCCGTGGTTATAATTGTGATGTAAATGAGACGCAATGTTTCTGTCGTCTGCCGAACAACTAGCCACTTTTATGCGTCGCGAACGTCTGTGCTGGCTGGCCGTTCGATGCACAGCGCCTCTCCCGACCGGCCATTCAAAGCATAGTGCCTGTGCTGACCGGTCGCTCTGCTATACCGACGTGCCGATCTGTGTATAATACTGACCGGTCGCCCTGCGTGTGCCCTGTCCGACCGCTGTGTGCATGATACTGATCGGCCACCCTGCAGCGTGTCCCATCGATCTGTATAATGCTGACCGGTCGCTCTACGTGTGCCCTGCCCTGCAGCCGTGGCCAGGACAGCCGTGGTGATGACGTTTGCCGGCGTGGCCGTGACCGTGGCCATCGGTGTCGACTACATGATCCAGATGCTGAGCACGCTCACCAAGAAACGAGCTCTGTTAGAGGAGCGAGGCATCAGTGAGGAGCACGTGGAGACGGCTCTGCGACTCCTGGAGCGGGCCGCCACCCTCTGGCAGTAGTGCCGGCTCGTCGGGCCCGTTTGATCGACTTCAGCTAGGCTCAATACCGTGGTACTGGCTGACTGTACAGACCGCAAATGACCCGAAACCCTTCGAGGAGCTGTTGCGATTCCAAGCCAGTGTTACGCCGAGTGCGTCGAGATGTTTTCAAATTTCAAGCATGTCATACTCGTCGATTGAGGTCTGTTATTTGTTAGCCACTTCAATGACGGTGACATTGCTTGATGCGTAGCTGAAGAGCCATGATGTTCGAGTGGCATTACTCCGAGGAGCTGCATGAGGACCACTGCTCTGCTATTTCTGTATTAAACTTTCGTTTTCGACGTCTTGTTATTGATCAAAATGGTTATTTTGTCGATAATTTCTACTGAATATGTGAGTTGACAAGTGACGATAATAAAATGCATCATCAAAATAAAAGTGTGTTTAGTATAACTTGCTCTCTATAAAAAAGGATGTGGAGCAGCAGCCATGTCCGTAGCTCATACCTTCGTAGCCTTTCATGCTGGTCTGGGGCCATGTCTAAAGCGTTTCTAAACGAAAGGCATTCAAAAAGCAGATCAGACAGAGCGAATCTATCCGTTTCAAATCGGCCATTTGTGAAATATACAATTTATAATGAACCTGTAAAGCCTGCTTGCTGGGTGATATTTTTGATGAGTGGTGCAACGCAATCGATGAAATTAAATGCTTTATTGGCATGGCGATTTCGAAGCGTTTAACGAAAGAACGACTTCAGATACATGTTTTTAGGATTTGCTTGATTTGCTTATTTAGGTCTGGCCACACTTGCATTTAAGGCATAAAAGGTACCAATTACCCCCTACAGTCACTCGAGCCGGTGGAATACGAGTACACCTCAGCAATGCGTTAGCTTATCTGAGCATAGGGCCTATGCTACCAATATGACCCATTAAATAGTCCTTTCATGTCTACGTTTGAAAATGAAAATATGTCGTATAACCGAAAAACAAATTATCTGGTTAGGTATGGCGCAAAACAGTAGTAGCTATGTACGACGGACGTATGTACAGTCTACAGCAGAAGTAATGTGCGGTTTCAGTCATGGGTATGTTCTGCTTCTGAAGCTTAGGAACGATTAGCCAGACTACAATGAAACTTTGAATGTAGCTTATATGTATCGTCACCCTTGCAGCTGCAACTTTAGCTATTGACATCTTTTCGATCACTCGGCATTAAACAATCGCCAGTCAAAGCCAACCGTTGAGATTGGTAAAACCCTACATTACTTTAGCGGTGGGCTGTACGTATATCTATAATTTGTTTGTGTGTTACGCTGCTCTGCTCGAGTGAGGAAATTTAGGGAAAGGTCATTCAACACCAGAGTTTACATATCATATCGGGGCATATAATATCTCGTGCAGATTATATTGCAGATTATAGTAAAATCAACCAAATTACAATAGAACTTGAAATTACAAGCCCCAAGCTGATAGTATCTGAAAAGGTGAAAAGGTAGCATCTAACTATAACATCCCTACTCCCCTACTCCAAACGGTGTACAATGTCGTCGAAAATGTTTACTATTGTTCTTGTTTTGATTTGTGGTTCTGCAAGCCAGAAAAGATTTGTACGCTTTAGGTAATGTATATTACATGTATGACATGACACCTGCCCTCCGGTAGAGAAACATGCGCCGCTTGTTTCACCAAACATAATTTCATTTCGCTTTCTACTGTTGCGCCACTCTGGCGTCGGCGGGAAGAGGAGGGTGCACGTGCTGGGCCGCTGCGCCGTTCCGCCTCCTGTCGGCTGGGCGCCGCCGCCGGGAACTGCCGGAGGCTGCCTGACGTAACGGCGCCAGGAGGAAGCAACTCGACCCCGATCTCCGCCGCTAGTTTCGCCCTGCCACCGGACGGTGAGGCCGGCGGCGGCGGAGACGCCTAATCGGCATGGAGGACGCAGTTTCACGTGTCGCCGGAATTCGGACCTTTCGACAGCAGGCTGTGCCTCTCACCTGCCTTCGGGCACTTCATAGAAAATAGGAAATTTAAACACTGCTTCTCCATACAGACATTGAAAGTGCTCTTGTTTCTGATAGTTATCCTGGCGCCATTAAAATATTCCAATGACAACTATGAGGAGTTTTTAATCGTTTGGATGGTTGGCATGAAACTAAAGAACCAATACAATTTTTGGCATGTTATTTTGATCATTTTCACATCAATTTTGACTATGAGGAGTTTGGCCGAAAGGAGACTTCTAAACGACATAACAGTTAGGTTATTAAAATTAGATGAATAAAAGCAGTTGACCTTTTCCTCGACATCAAAAATGTAAAAGCCGAATGATATATTTAAAAAACGGTGAGCTTTCGGCCACTGGCCTATATCAATTATTCACAGGATTGTCTTTTAACATTGTTATCACGCTCGTTTGATAAAGGACAGTGGCCGAAAGCTCAACGTTTTTCAAATATATTTTTCGGCTTTACATTTTTGATGTCGAGGAAAATGTCAACTTCTTTTATTTATCTAATTATATTCAATATGTTCCTCGCCTGAGCACTTAATAGTATAACAGTTACGGTTGAGCTCCTTATGGTGCACTTGAACATTCGTTAGCAAGTTGTTACACCTCAAGTGAAACAAATGTAGGAAGGTTAAAAAGTGTGGTTCAGTTAATTGCTTATATAGTGTGTTCACTACTTCCTAAAATATAGAAACTGAATATGTGATAAGCTATCGAACAGGCACGTATGTATGCAAGACAATCATTGAAGACCCGCACTACCAAAGTGTGTGACGGAGATGTGAAGGTAAATGTAAGACGTTGTAAACTTGGTAATCTAGGCGTCCTAAAGCTGAATGATGGTGATTTACGACTACATACCTACGTATTTATATTTCTCGAACCTTTACGCGTTTGCCCAGTGTATCGAATGTTAAGATTGTGGCTTCCCATTCATGAATGAATCAGTGACTGATTCTCGTGTTGATCAATTATGAAAGATTATTATCATCAAATCATTTGTTATGAACTAAACAAAATAAACAAGATATAAGCACATGTGTATTGTCAGAGCCAGGCAAAAATCGCAAAATTGCTTCGTAAAAGTACAATGTAAAGCTAGAAATACTGATGAGGTGAGCGGAAAAGAGCACAGCACTGGCGGAGTATGACAGCATGTCTCAGATGAGTTGATAACACAGAAAAGCAATAGTAAAAACGAAGTCAAGTGCAGCATGAGGTGGCATAACGATAGGTAACAAATGCATAGATGAGCTGCACGTAGGTAATAATATTTAACATAACTCTCAGATAGTACATTTGTCTTCTGGTGCTGTAGGAGAGTCAAGCGAATGCATCAGCCAATTTGTTTGCATTGAAATAAGATATCAGGACAAAAGAACACAGAAAAATGTGTTAATCACAACAAAGAGCAGCTTCGCAACATAAAGATAATGATGCAAGGCGTGGGCGGGTTTCGCAGAGGATAACGGGAAAACAAGATTAGATGTAAATGCAGTGATGAAAGGTAGTTGGAATTGTATAATCAAGCAGAATAAGAACAAAATGAAAGCAGGGAAGAATCATGGAAAAGGCACGAGCATCAGGTGCGGTTACTGCTGAAAACATAAAAAGTAAAATGAAAAAGGGCTTTGCAATAATGGATACGTAGATGTGAAAAGTAACAGTATTTTGCGAGCACGGAAAAGCCTTCATTGCTTTTGCGATGCAACATTGAATCAAAAGGAAATAGAACAGCTGATGCGTCCCGATACATTTTGGTGTAGAGATGACAATTATGTTCTTTTTAGTTTACCGAGAGTTTTGTTTACCGAGATTTTGTGAAATGAGAAGGGAAGCAATTATTGCACACAAGCATTGGCAAAAATTACGTCTCCCATGCACTGGGAGTTCATGACAGACATTTGGCAGTCACCAGCAACAATCAACAGCATCAAGTAACAACATGAAAACACTGTAGTAATATACAACAGAACAAAAACAAAAAACGAAACGAGTTAACAACTTGTGAAATCACAGCATCGTCCAGCGGCGTGCATTTTGGGAGAGACGGGCCGGGGTGCAGGGCGTCTGGAAACGGTATCTACTCCTCGGACCACGAGTCCTCGAAGTCCTTCTGCAGCTGGTCCATCCAGACAGAGTGGTCCACCTCCCACTCGTCGGTGTCCAGACCACGGCCCGAGTTGTTCAGCTGGGTGAACAGGAAGGCCAGCAGAGAGCCGAGGGCGAGCGCCGCCAGCAGGCCGAGACCGAGCAGGAACAGGGGCCCCAGGACTGGCGGCAAACGGGTCACACCACGGTCACACTCTGGTCACACTCTGGTCACACTCCAGTCACACACAGAATGTCACTCCGTGAACAACCGCAGAATCACAAACCTAAATGTAAATTTTTTTTTCATTAATTAAGATTTTTCGGAAATGACGGGACGAAAAGAATTCATCAGGGCTTACAGCGCGAGCAAAGCTGACCCGGCACTCGATCGGGAACTTCCGGGCTGTGATGGGAACAAATAGAGGCTAAGCTTAGTATGTCAAAGTAGGCGGACACGGTCCGTCCCACTTGCTGACTAACTGGGCGCGGCTGCTCCCTCCAACCGCAGACCGCAGACGTCAGCAGTCTCATGGCTAGCGCCTCAGCCCCCGATAGGATACTCGATCTGGGGTCTCACCGCCGTGGGAGCCCGCAGCGCTACTAACTGAGCTACGCGACAAAATTCCTTGTATACTCTCCGATTGCGTTTCTTTCCGGGAGTATGGTACATTTCCAATCGGCAATTGAAGCCCATACCCAAAATGAAATAATGAATAGTTTAGTTGTCGGCGCTCTCATGGCCACCTTTCACCGGATGCTGCTATTTCTATGTGACCAGCTCCGAGTGATGAAAGTGAAAGAAGGCAAGATGAACTAATCCACACAAAAGCGGCTTAGACATATGGTCAAGTTCGAATGAAATGCACCGACAACAAACGAATGTTATTCGCCTCTGTCGAGTTTACGTCATTGTGGCCGGACGAGACAATGCGGATGTTACGCCACGACTAAATTGACGCCCCGGGTCCGGACCGTTACCGGTACGCGCGCACTGGGTTCGGTTCTGGTGACGGGCGTTACTCACGGTCGCCCTTGCCGCCGCCCTGCTGCGGGTGCGAGCTGTAGCCGTATCCGCCCGAGCTGCCCGAGTAGCCCGAGTAGCCGGTGTCGTAGCCGCCCGAGGCGCGGCTGACGATCCTGGCGGTCACCATACGGTCAGTGCGCGCCGAGTGGCTGATAGGTCGCTCCGATTGGCTCACAGCTGCGTGCATGGGCAAATAAGATAGCTGCAAGCGTGAATATGCGGCTCATTTGGTGTCATGGAACGACACACGTTGCTTTTTGAAGGCAGTAAGTGAACAGTCTTAGAACGTTGGTAGACACAGATCATATCCACAATCATATTCAGCACTGCAACACCAAGGATTGGCCATATCCATCAGTAGCGTAATGGGCTGTGATCCTAGATTACGTTTTTATGTAAGCCATCTATCTAAGTCATATAACTAAGTCATATATCTAAGCGCTTGATGTAACAGTAGAAAGCATAAAAGACCAATACGCATGCATTTGATACCTACAGCTTAAGACGTGTTTAAGGGCTTAGGAAACGGAACTGATGAAAATCTCGACGGGATTCAGGAAGTGTTGGGTGTGTCATTTGTGACATGGCAAAAAATTGTGCACGGTCACTGCCGCGCGCTGAGGGAACTGCTCGGAGCGGGGCGGGGCGCATCGTCACCTGGACAGCCAGCCGAACGGCGACTTGTTGCGCCGCACCGGGCGCGGGTTCTGGTGGTTGTAGTAGTTGTTGTAGTAGGTCTCGTCATCGTTCAGCGCATACTCGGTGTCCCGCTTCTGCAGGGTTCCTGCGGGGCCGGGGAAGTCGGTTAACCCAGTTCCCGAGGCGCGCACAAACAGCCGTCAGCCCGGTGGTGGGTAAACAACCCTCCCCGCTCTGCCCCAGCCTTCCCAGCTCCGCCCCTCCCCGTTCCAGACCGCAGGCCGCAGACCCGGATCCCCGGCCCGAGCTCCTGCCAGAGGGCACCACCTGGTGGGAGAGCTCGACCGGCGACTCCTCTGCCCCGCCCCTGCATGCAATATGGACTGCCTACTATGTGCAACATGGACGCCGCGTATGCGAGCTTACCCGCCATTCCTCTCGTTACTGACATGGCTTCCCGATCTCAGTAACTATGCGGATGTCTATTCAAATTTGAGAGGTGAAAATCGCGCCGCGTTTCGTCCTTAGTGGGTCAGACGGACCGCACGCTGTGTCCGTTCCCGCTGCGCGGCGGCTGGTCACTGCAGGTGTCTGGGACGGCGCGGCCCGCCAGCCGTATGGCGGCTGTGGTGGCCACTGAGTCTGAGTACGCCGGCCACGGCCACGGCGCTAGCAGCCGGAACGAATGCGCTCCGTTCGGCGACAGGGAAAACGAGCGGGCTCATCAAACTGTTTCCAGGAAACCGGGAGCGGTAGCTGGGCTCCTAAAATAGCCGAGACTTCAGAGTCGTAAATCTAGGGAGTCTGGAGCTAAACGGTAGGGGAGAGGCGGGAGAATTGGGACGCAGGAGAATAGGGACACGCCAATAGCTAAACAATGGACATCATCCTTGCACGATTATTGCCCTCACCTTTTGATTCTATGTGTCATGCAACGATGGGAAGCCTCAGCAACCCTTTTGTGGCCGTCGTTCGGGCTGTGCTGGCTGGGCACCAAAAAACTTGTTTTTTCGAGTGCTATTCTGAGTTGTCTGTGCATTGCATATGACAAACTATCTTTCTTTCAACATGTTACGATGTTAGATTAACACCGTCCTTATGCGATTGCTAGTTTGTATGAACACGCTCTGTAACTGATAAATGACAAAAAAATGCGTGATTTGTTATGGCGGTGTTGTGGGAGAATAGGGACACCAAATGGTAAAAACGGTAAAGTGGTGCAAAAATATGTGTTTTTACCTTCGTGTTTTGGAAGGGGTTGCAGCTGCACCCTTAACCACAAATACATCAAAGCGAAGACCAGAAAGTCTTACTCTGGTAGGAAAATGTGCATTTTATGGGAACATCGTAATCGTGAAAGACAATCCCGGCATTTAACGAAACAGATAGTGTGAAGATAAGTTCCAATGTATCAAATGATTGCCTATAAACATAGACACGACAAATAATTCGAGATAGAGTCATCCAAATACCCGATTTTTATATGTCCCAATTCAGCTTCGTGTCTGTCCCTTGTCTCCTCGCATGTGTCCCTATTGTCCTGAAAATGAGTGTTTTTGTTTTTGTCCACATATAGCTACATCATTGCACAGGCTCGCTATTTTATGATGGCATAATGCAGAGAAATGGTGGACCTTTTATTGGCGCTGGGCAAAGCAGCTTGGCTACAATACTTGCCAAATAATACCTCAATGAACATGGCCTGAGAAATAAGTCCCAATTCTCCCGCCTCTCCCCTAAATGAGACATTCGTGAGTTCAAAGCAAATTTATGGTACTTTGGATGGGAGCCATTTACGTTTCCTTGTATCCCTAGCTCAATAGTACTCCCCGAAATACTTGAAGAATCATTGGCTCGTTTGGGAAAGTGTCCAAGACAGCATCTCACCGGAGGCAGCCACAGCGACGCTGGCGCAGATCAGGGCGGCGAGGATGTACTTGTTCATGGCTGCTCGGCCTGAAATCAACAATGACCGGTCAGTTTATGCCGCCTCAATAAAACGTGAATCGCCAAACGGCACATAACGAAACATCCCAAAACATGCCTGACGCATAACGCTGAAAGCTCTGTTATTCCTTTGTAACGATAAACGGTGGTAAAGCCATACCACCTTGGATATGCCTATGTAGTTAAATGAAACTGTTTTGACAACTACAAGGATTATCGAGCTGTAGAAAACAAAACAGAGGACATGACAAAAATTTGGCTTGCTGCCATTATGCGATGGCCGAACTGTGGCCGAGCACACCCTATCAGACTTTCAATGCACTAAATGAAATCATGCGTTTGTGGAAAAGTTTGCAGTAGATCTATATTCCAAGAACACTTATTCGAAAGGTCATCGGTAGGTAATCTGCAAAGTTCGTGTTACGTGAACTATAAAAGAAAAACGCACATACTTTAATCAACAAGTGAATTAGAACGCAAGAGTCGTGATATTTGGAGAATAGGATGAACCATGATACCTACTTAACTTTAGGTACTGTAACTTCGATCATTGTGAAAAACCGAGACAGATCCTGCCTTGCGTGACTTTTATTCGTACAACAATCATTTTTTTTCACATAAGTCACGAGATTATTCAGAAACCGTTAAGGTCAGGAATTTTTGTTGAGTATTCCTTAGCCATAACTCAAAAATGTGTTCCCTGTCTGCGGCCATTTTCCGGAGCTCTGCTTATTGTGAAATAGGATCTCAGGTGGATATTATCTATGAAATTAGTTTTGAGTGTAATTGGTGAAAATGTACCGATGGGCGGCCCGGAGGAGCCGGCATCTCTCCCGTTTCTCCGCGCCTGCGGCCTTCCGGCATTCACCGACAGGTCCGGGGTGGTGTGGCGAAACTCCCCTCCCCGACCCGCCGCTCATGGCACACCGGGCCGGGGGCGATCGGCACACCTTCCACGAACCGCGGCTGCCGGCCGACGGGCGACGGTGAAAGCGCCGCCTCCGACAGAGAGGGATGGCCGGTACACGTGCACCTCCCGTGGAAAGCCGCCGAGCGCCGCCGCCGAGCGCCGGCGCGCCGCACCGGATGGCCGAGCAATGGGACGGTTACCGGCCGATCGGAGCGGCGGCGGGCCCGCTGCCCGATTCCCGAATGGGCCCCATTGATGAGCACTTATGATGAAAGCTAGAAAGCGTGAGTCTTTTCGTTAAATCAGCAGATCAATTTCGTTGATATAGTCACAAAATGCAAGGCACAAAATGTCGCAAAATGAATGTGAAAATTGAAGTAGGTATCTGCCTATATTATTTGCAACGTTCTTTCACAATAATAAAACTAAGGCCGTCAAACAAGTTAACGGTTTTTGGAGCTTGCTTTTGTGCTAGTGTTACGACCATTTCTAGGTCTCAGTGCACTATAGTTTCGATTAAAGAATCAAAGGTACCGAATTTGTCATTTTATATCGTCCACTAGGTAGGTATCCGTTAAATACCTAAATACACTCCATTAGTTAACTCGATAGCCAGCCTATGAGGCGCCAATTACCAGCTATAAGCATTGTAAAATGCAGCTTCTTTTTCACAAAAACCAGTGAAGTGTTATTTTTAACACTTTTGTTGGGACGTGATTTGACTGCAGCAATCGCGATAGACTTCGGTCGTTGAAAGATGTTTTAACTGAATAATTTTGATGCATGTGTGAGTCCTTGTCACAGCAAGCGACTAAGAACGCGGGAGGGGAAGCCATGCGACACACACATTCTTTTTCTCACGCCCTGTGACTCGTTGGGATAAGCTCGCACCCACGTAGCTAGCATTTTTTCGGCAGAACATAAGTAGATGTCACTACTGTCTGGCTGAGGCTGATGCTTTCTCCTGGCGGTGAGCCTTGGGTGAGCCATTTCATGACCAAGCCAGTCGGGAGCTCTCCGAATAGGTGACGCTGCGGTCTGGATGGCGAGAGAGAGAGTGCAGCAGCCCCATCAGCGAGGAGGCCCGCATCTGACGTAGATGTCGCTACCTCCTAGGTCCTACACCTACCACTGTCGTCTTCAGCGAGAGAAGCCTAGATGGCGGCACTGCTGGATTGGAGGAGACCCCAACCTAGGTAGAGCCACCACCGCACCAAGGAAGGGAGTGGGAGTCAACATTGAAAAGCAATTGATTAACATTTGTCATAACTCGATGGACATAACACACTTTCGGTGGTTTGGTTTGCTGGAATATTATTTTTTTCTAAGAAGCTTCGCTTCAAGCAAAAGACTTTTATGAAGAGTATAGTCAATGATTTTGAAAATAGTCAATGATTCTGTATATTTTTCAGCGATCGTAACCGTTGTAGCCCCCTTTTACGTCATAGCTTCCTTTTAGAGATACTCGATTGAAAAAGAGTTGAAACCATTGATGGCGGCACAGTCTCCAACAAACGGTGCTCAAATCTATCTGGACTCGGGACTAAGCCGATGGGCGGCTGTCCGGACACCAGCAGCGGCAGCGCCACCAACGACGTGCCGGACGAGGGTAGTACGGCGAGAGGCACCGCTGGCGGCACAGGTGGCGCCAGGCACTCACTAATGGTCCCCCTCCGACCACAGTCGCCAACACCAGTCAGCTGATGGGCAGACCTGGGATTGAAATGATCACACATAGCTTTTATATATATTCAAGAAGTTAGATATAATCAAATCTCAAAACATTAATTGATTTTGTCGAGCGGTGGCAAATTTTGTAAGGTAGGTATGCTTGAGCATTTAAAGAAAGCCTCTGAAGTCGGAAGAGTGTAAAATCAAAATCCGCACGAGTTAATTCGCCGTGCGCTGTGCGTAGCGAGCACATTTTAGCGGGAGCACGAATAGTTACTGAAGCAGCTAAGGCGTGAACCGTTCCCGAGAGAAACCGTCAGGGAGGCGACTCGTGCCCCGCCCTCCTCGGTCCGCCGACGTTCCTGGGGGGGGGGGGGGGGAGCCGTGAGGAGCGTTCCGGGCTGTGCGCCCGCTGCAGCTACAGATCGTGACTTCCCCGGGAAGGCGGCTGGCCCAGTGACTGGCAGAGGCGAGCCGCGGAGAGCGTGCCTCACCGGCCTGATCTCGGTGGCGGACTCTGACCCGTCCCGGCCAGGACGAGAGCGCTGCCACGGAGTGGAGCAAAAGCCATGGAGACCAGGTCACAGAGAAAGCATAAAGGGCACGAATGTCTTGCGGCAATCGGCAAAACTGCTCTCAAAGGCTGACAAAGCATTCGGAAAGTCACGGCGAAGAGTAGCGGATTGAAGAGTCACTGCTGGTGAGGCGGCAGTGAAGGGAACTTTTAACTGTACTGCGTCGACAGCTAGTGGGTAGCGTGATGATCAGAAACGGTAGCGAAATCAAGATGACTCGATCGACCCAATTGAAAACATCTAGCTGCGTCTTGCGGCGCTTGGTAGGCAGACGCTTCTGATGTGTGAGTTAGATAAGTGGTTTTTTGTAGTTAAAAAAAACAACAACAAGAAATCCCCTCTTTCAAAGAGAAACACACGAATAAAACTCAAGCCGAAGAGAATAGACCGTGGAGAAAATAACTAAATTCGAGTGTGCCGGGAGATTAACAAGTGTAGTGCGAAACGGGAAAAGTCGTAGGTAGTATTGAAATCAAACAAGAAAGCGTCTATCGTGTTTTTAATTACATGGTGAGGATTAGTCATACCTAATAAATATAATGCTTCATTTCGAATAAGATTAGTCAAAATGATCAATCCTATGGTATTTGGCAGATTCCGAAAACATCTCAAATGGAAAATTGCAATGAAACGAACTTAGAACGATTTTTGCATGCGGGCCTAGATGAAATCTATAATTGGGTGAATACAGAATACGATTTAATCCCTATAGGTATGTCCTCGTCGAAACAACAAAACTATTCCCTTTATTTTGGCCAAGGGAAATAAGATATTGAGATGGGATCGGAAAAAAAGGGATTTCAAATATCCCGTCCTTACAATGATAATGTCTAATTTGTTGAGAACTATGGTGTTTACATTGAAGGCAAATAAAAATCCAAATGAAATGATTTAGGTATTCAAGACTGCAGCAGATTTATCGGGAAGATGATTTTGTGAGAGCTTCGTAAACACGCTGAGAGGCACCTTATCGTTTGTTTGCTAATCATGAACGCTAAGTTGTGAGCTTGAAAGTTCAAACTATAGTTCACAATAATAGTAACTCTTTTTAGTTATTACTGACTGAAAAGTGGTGTGAAAATTTAAATGAGTAGTTATAATGAACAATCGGATTTTTGGGAAAATATATCAAGAGACAAACTAAGCGAAAGAATTATGTTGTATACTCAAGTCAGGCGTTTCCGCAAAACAATATTTTGCGGAAGTTAAGTGAACAGAAATATGTTCCGTGTTGTCTGCTTATAAATGATCTTTGTGCACAGTGCCTAACAATTTTAATTAGTCTGTGCTCAGGACGGAATAGGGATGTGTACAATTAAATAAAAAAATAGCAATAACCTCGACCTTTCTTTGTGGAGAAATATCGCTTACCAATATTGAGGACAGGCACAAATACCAATTGCTTTGGTAATTATACAGCTCCGTTGGGTGGTAGGCCGCGCTGGGTGGCTCCGGCGAGCCCCGGGTCGCTCACACTTACCCGGTGGCTGGGGTTATCCAAGGAGAGGTGTGCACTCCACTGCAGGCTGCCGATCACTGATGCTGCTCTCCGCACCGCCGGCCGCCTTTATACGGGCACGATTTCGCACTCACTCTTGCCACAACATTTTGGCGAAAAACTAGGCCACGCCGTTGCCGATCACACTATTTTCATTCTTACCGAGCCGCGCTCCGAAGTTTTCTCCGGTGGAAGGCTGAGACTCGGGCACCGCGACCGCATGGCGCGGATCCCATAATCGGACACCGAGGCCTTATATCCCATCAAACAATCGCATTTATTTTGCAGGTTAGCTACCTATCGTTTCAGGAACATGCTATATTCAATTGACATAAAAAAAAATCTCACCAAAATCTATATTTTCGGTGCTATATTATCGAATGACGATTGCGCCCGTGATGATTTGCGTTTGGCGGCGGCGGAGTGGGCGGGGCCAGCGCGCCGCTCAGAGTCGGGATCGACTCTGCCAGTCTGCAGCGGCCTCAGTGCACGTGGCATCGGCCGCCGGGCCGGGCGGGCGCGTACCGCTCCCAAGCTTACACAGCTCGACTCGTGTTGGGCTTTCAGAGAATTTGACTATCCGGGAAACACGAGCAAGAGATCGAACGTTTGGTCTATGACCGAGAGAGAAGACATGTGAAGAAGAAACAGTCGAGATACTGGTTCAAGATTGGTGGCTGTGCTTACCGGTGGACATTTGCCAGTCGTTTAGCCGGACGGCGAGTTCAGTGGTCAGCGGTCAGCGATCAGCGGTCAGCAATCAGCGGTCAGAGCTCAGCGGTCAGCGGTCAGCAGTAAGCAGTCAGCGGTCAGCGTCCTGTCGAGGTGCGGCCCTCATCGTCTGTCCTCGGCGCCTGCGGACGTTACTCGTAGTCGTAACGTCGCGGAAGTGATGGGGTAGCTCCTCTCGTGTTACTTGGAGCGGTGCTGTCGCCGCGACCGTGGTCTGCCGCCGGCCAACAGCCTCATCATCGAACCGGCCTACTGTAAGATCAACCGTGCAAAGACGCGCAAAATGGTGTGCGTGAAATACGTATAATCTAAAGTTTTGTGCTACCAGTGTCACACTCAATGTCACTTTACATATCTATACCTACTAAGCATTTCCAAATTTCGCATCTAAAAAGCGAGCAGATATTCTCTGTTGTTACAAACTACGAGTATAACGACACAAGTTGCTGTTCTTTACATTTGCCATTGTATCATTGATAGTTCACTCGAACCAGTTACTAAGTTGCCTATCGTGAAGGAACATAATCACTTCTCCATTCACACACGCATTAATTAACCCGCGCATGACTGGAGGGGGGGGGGGGCTCTACAGAGCCCCCATCCCGTTTTCGGCAATATCTTCTAAACCATTTCACGAATCACCACAAAACTTGTAGTACTCTCAGCAGCATTAATTTGACACCTTATGATAAAATTTCAACTTTCTAGCTACCATAGTCTGGCCGGAAAGAACGTCAGAGTGACGTCATATCGGCCGACTTTGATGCAAAATAGTGAACTACGGCAAACGCTCTCAAGAGCTTAGTTTTAAAGCTAGATCCAATTTCTTTGCACCAATGGACTACAAATACACGTAGCTATTAAACTGCTATCTCGAATTTTCGAATTTTTGAAAATTTTGAGAAATATGTTTTTACAATTAGGTACAAAACAAATATTTTTGATTTATTCAAAAAGTTTTTGATTTTTCGCAAAAACCGGAATAATGTGATAGAACACAAACTGATGAACTACTCTAGCAAGTTGTAGCCCAATATCTTCAAAAAATAACCAAGTTATTTGCATTATTATCAAAATTTTACAATTATATACTTTTCAAAACCATTTTTCAGTACGTTTTGACCTCGTACACCAATATAAACGGCACCATCGTGTTCCTGAGCTCAAACTGCATCTGATAGGCACTTTTTTGTTGAAAAATATCATTTTCAAAATTTGACCTTTTCTGACCTGAAATTTACCTGACCTCCGGTAAATTCAGCTGAAAATGACCTCAAATGACACAGTGACAGACATTATTTTCGAAATCTACGTGTAAAATGGACCATAAAACATGCGTCACGTGACCGATACATGATATACAATTTTCGTGACCTAGGATGACCTGGCCTTGACCTGAAAAATTCGAAGGAAAAGTACGGTACCGTCAGGGTATCTAAGGTATATATCAAGGAGTGCGTAAACCAAAATGAGCTTGATTAGACATGTCAGCCGGCGGCCAGAGTCTAAATTGTAAACAAGCAAAAATGCCGATAATTTTATTTCGTCATCGATGACCTCGAGGTCAATGAAAATAGGTTTCGTAGAACAGTTTTTTCCAGGGCTATCAGACGCCGCTTGAATTTTGACTATCGGCTCAGTAGTGTCGGAGATAGGAGGGGACTCTGGAGAGCCCCCCCCCCCCTCAGTCACTCGCGTTATGGAAAAAACCCAGTCATGCGCGGGTAAATTGACCAAAAGATAACGGTTACGGTTGACACAGGATTCTGTATATGGTCTGCCTAGACCACAGATTGATTTTAGACATGCTTGACATTAGTGAAGCATCTGCTTTTAAGATACATCCCACTTCATTTTTCGTTATATTTGTGCATACGAGGCTGCAACGCCCAAGAGCTCTAATGTCGATGTGATTGTGGACCATATTATAAAGTAGGCAAATATACCAAAAATAGCTTATTGCTGCTGACTTGTAAGACGACTAAGACGTCTATAACCGCCATCTATTGCATAAGGCCTTTTCTTCCTTTAGAGGTTGGTCAGATAAGCCTCACAACAAACGACGCTTTGGATAGGTATGTGTTACTATAAATTCCATCAGATTTTGGCGCCAATGGGCGAGAAATATAACATTACCGTTACTAAATAATACTGGTAAAACCATAGTGTTATGCTAGAACCATCACCGTTTCTAATCGTTATGCATGATATTGAAAAGGGAAACTTCCAAAATCAGAATCGTTGCAAAAATCTTTCTTAACAAGCATCGTGTAAAAGTAAGTAATTGTGCAATTATTTCATCAACATTCTACTAAATGATTTTATAATTATTCTCATGATTATCGCATATGATTATAATTATGATTAGCTTTTATGAAATACAGCTATATAAAGAAATGTTCGGTTAATTTTTGACGACTAAAACTGGCTATTACGGCTCCACAAGATCTGCATAATACACAAATGCTGCAATTGATTATCCAATATCCAGCATGCTCAAGCAGAATTGAAAGACACTGGTATTGCAGTAAATTTGATATAACTCTTCTGATGTGGGCATGAATATGTTTACTGAAAAGCTATAAAGAAAAAGTTTTCGATTAAAAGGTTTCCTATTTTGTCCATGGCGCAGTCGTCCATAAGATTGCTATTTTCATTAAAAAGAAATTTCCGATGCATTAGTTGGATGAAGATGACCTTGAATAATTCGATTTTAGTTTGAATGCAGACTATGTTGGCTATTCTATTATTGTTTTCGTATAATACATTTGAAAAGCATAGAGAAAATTATGTTGTTCTAGGAGCTATCATAGTGTGTAATACGAATAGCATGGATTGTTTCTATAGCACGTTAGCATGCCAATTTTGATAAACACCACCTCATTACATAAGCTTTTCGTCTCATTCAAATGCAACTTTAGCAGACGTTACCGCAAGCAATGCCAGGTAAATAGGCACTATGTCATTAGTACAGCAATATGGCATGCGCCAAGTACGCTCATTGGTCTTGGTTCGGGTGTTTTGTGTTATGTGCACTGCAGGTATGATTAGTACATCATCGTCTTAGTGATTTGCTAGGTCGTAACTCCTGTTTAGCAGAAGTTACGAGCCGGCCTGGTGTGACGCATAGAGCGGTGTGAACGGTGCATTCGTCGATCTGTCAGATCTAGCATCATAGGTTGCATCCGTCCATGAATAGCGGTGAGATTTTCCTGGGTTTTTACACTGGTCGTGACTAAACCGGTGTGTGTGTGTGTGTGCTTTATTGGGTGTGCAGAGCATCAGCTATGGCCCAGTGAATTCACCGCACCCTACGACCGGCCGACACGTGATCCAGTGGATAAGGGGTGATTGCCGGCTGGCTCTCAGTATATGTAACTCCTCAGGTGAAGTGCTGAGGAGTTTTGGTTTTAGTTTTGCATAAAAAAACTGCGCATTTGTTCACAGTTGTAAAAGTACCACTGATGGGCGCTCGATGACAATGAGCAAAATGTTCAAGTCACTTGTTATTTCAGGTTGTAGCTGGAATTTCTATTTCGATTCGTAACATCGGCCAATGGAACTTACGAATAATCCTTGTAGCATTACCAGCGATGCATGATTGTCTGATGAAAATGTCCTCGGAACGATGAATAACCGGAGGTTTGTGCTAAAAACCAATAAAATTATTCACAAGAATTGTGTTTTACCATTGAATATGATTGTTTTGTGAACAAATAAAAAGTATGATCTATATGATTTAGTGCTCAATAAATGGAAAAGGTCATCCCTTGCGATTTTTACATGCTGCGTGTCACTTTATTTTAGTCACGAGCTGCATTTTAGGCACACTATACACATTGGTACTGTTGGTGCCATTTTTATAAGGTTTTGCGACTGCTCAATAACTTTGTGACTATGGGTCTAAAAAAAATGCCGAATAAATGCACTGAAAACATATTTTGATAAGGATGAACAAAGAAACTAGCGATAATTTATTATATGACACCTGTCACTTATTTGAACAGTACATACCTACTCAAACGCATTCCTTGCCGAGTGACCTGGCCATTACGGACTGACCCGACGTGGTAGAACGCGGAGACTGCAGTAGAACATTGATCAGTAGCACCAGGACCCGGAGACTGCAGTAAGGCTTGTAATAATAAATCAAAACACGGAGACTGCAGTAGCTCATACAACAGTAGCACCAAAACTTGGAGACTGCAGTAGAACATACGACAGTAGCGCCAGAACCCGGGGACTACAGTAGAGCATATAATGGTAGCACCTGAAGCCGGAGACTGCAGTAAGGATTCTAACAGTAACACCAGAACTAGGTGACTGCAGTAAAACATACAACAGCAACACAGAACACGGAGACTGCAGTAGAGCACAAAGCAGTAGCACCAAAACTTGGAGACTACAGTAGAGCATATAATGGTAGCACCTGAAGCCGGAGACTGCAGTAAGGATTCTAACAGTAACACCAGAACTAGGTGACTGCAGTAAAACATACAACAGCAACACCAGAACACGGAGACTGTAGTAGAGCACAAAGCAGTAGCACCAAAACTTGGAGACTACAGTAGAGCATATAATGGTAGCACCTGAAGCCGGAGACTGCAGTAAGGATTCTAACAGTAACACCAGAACTATGTAGGTGACTGCAGTAAAACATACAACAGCAACACCCAACACGGAGACTGCAGTAGAGCACAAAGCAGTAGCACCAAAACTTGGAGACTACAGTAGAGCATATAATGGTAGCACCTGAAGCCGGAGACTGCAGTAAGGATTCTAACAGTAACACCAGAACTAGGTGACTGCAGTAAAACATACAACAGCAACACCAGAACACGGAGACTGCAGTAGAGCACAAAGCAGCAGCATCAAAACTTGGAGACTGCAATGGAGCATACAACGGTACCACTAGGACTCAGAGAGCAGTAGAACAACGGTGACACAGAATTCGGAGACTGCAATAAATCATGTAGCAGTAGCACCAGAACATGGAGACTGCAGTATGGCATGTGACAGTAACACCGTAAAATGGATGAGATAATACTTGATTGGTGTCTCGTGAAAATTAGCACAGAGACCCGCGACATTAGGATCAGGCCT